CCATCCGGTGCCTGCCCAGCGGGCACTGGGAGGAGCCCCGGATCACTTGCACAGACCGTGAGCACCGCCCCTCCCGCCCCCGCTGGGCACCGCGCTGCAGCCCACCCCCCGGGTCCCCCTTCCTGGCCCCGGAGCACCAAGGTGCTGGCTCTCTCCTCAGGACCCCACACCCTCACGGGCAGCACCATCTGTGGGCAAGGTCACCTGTCCCTGACCCCCCTCGCCCCCCAGCCCCAGGGACAGAGGAGAAAGCAGGCAGCCTGCTCCCCTTTTCAACCCCAGCCAAAGCCCCTTAGCCCAAGTTGGTTCAAGGAAACTCAGAAGGGCCCTAGCTGGTTTGGCTCAGTGGGTAGAGCATTGGCCTGCAGACTGAAGGGTACCGGGTTCAATTCCAGGTCAGGGCACGTGCCGGGTTGTGGGCTCGATCCTCAGTAGGGGGTGTGCAGGAGGCAGCCTATTAATGATTCTTATCATTGATGTTTTTCTCTATCTCTCTCTCCCCTCCCTTCCTCTCTAAAATCAATAAAAATATATATTTTTTAAAAAGCGCCTCCCAGGCTGTCTGGCCAGCTTCGTAGGATTGTAACAGGCTCATGGCCAGGGCAGGAGGAGGCACCTCCTGTTCGTTTTTCGGCCCAGTTTCCCATTCTCCTGCCTTCCTGGCCAGCTGCATGTTCTTTCAAACAACAGCAAGTTCAAATGGCTGTTTATTTCCCAGCAGTTATATTTTCATTGCCTGCCTCCCTACCTGAAGTGGGGCTAATGTGTTCTAGACAAATATTGGTTTCTATGAAATATGGCCACCCACCCATCTCTGGGGTAGGAGCTCCAGGCATGGAAGGATATTTCTGAAAGTCTGGAGGCTGGTTGTGTGTGAAAGGGAGAAGCTGACCACTTGATTGGAGTGAGGTGGGAGTCTTGCGATTCAGATTAGGAACCAGGTGCCACAGCTCAGAATGCCCGTCAGGGAAGGAAAAGTGCAGGTAGCCATGACTGGAACCTGGCACGTTCAGACACACACATAGTGAGGGTGTTGCTGGACCTTGAAGCCGGTTACATGCTGAGTAAGTCATTCTTCTTTCAAGGTGGCTCTATTTCCTCTTCTGCAGTTTCCCATCTATGACATGTTAATAAATGCTTAAAAAAAAACCCCAATATGGGTGGTCGAATACATTTTTAAAAGGCAAGGTT